CCAGGACACGATTGCTACTTCAGTAGCGCTGACACAATCCGCCATTTTGCTTATTTAATTTGTTTGTTTTGAAGTAGAGTTTATAATTTGTTTTGTGCAAGATTAGTTTTAAATAATATAATGACATGAATAAACACATACATGTTATTAAAAATTCATGATTGGTAAGTTTTTAATATGAATACTTTACAAACATATATTTAAATTAGGTTAGGTTCCCCGGTTAAAACTAACATCGTGTCCTGGAGAAAAATAGCTACTTACGATTTGACAGCGCTTACCGCTTACGATCGCCATTTTGCTTACAAGCGCTTGCTAGCGCTTTTTTCTGCCAAACGCACCCAATTACTGGGTGCGTTTGGCAGAAAGCGCTAGCAAGCGCTTATAAGCGCTAAAATAGTTTTCGGCCAGGACACGATTGCTACTTCAGTAGCGCTGACACAATCCGCCATTTTGCTTATTTAATTTGTTTGTTTTGAAGTAGAGTTTATAAGTTGTTTTGTGCAATATTAGTTTTAAGTAATATAATGACATGAATAAACATATACATGCTATTAAAAACTCATGATTGGTAAGTTTTTAATATGAATACTTTACAAACATATATTTAAATTAGGTTAGATTCCCCGGTTAAAACTAACATCGTGTCCTGGAGGAAAATAGCTACTTACGATTTGACAGCGCTTACCGCTTACGATCGCCATTTTGCTTACAAGCGCTTGCTAGCGCTTTTTTCTGCCAAACGCACCCAATGACTATGTACTAGAGATAGATGAACAACTCAAATTTTATTTACGTTAAGTTCCGTGTCCATCCGTCAGATGGCGTAAAATTAAGTTATGATAAAATATTGTTTTTGAAACAGCAATTCCGAATACTCACAGACTGGTACAGGAACAACAAATCGGATTTTATCAGAATTCCCAATTAATTTTGATTCGCAATTGCGATACTAGAATTTACCAATAGAGTGAATGAAATGTATAAGTAAATTACGCATGTTTTTTGTATAGGTTTCCATGGAGTTATGATTAGAAAAATGGAAAGAAAAGGAAAATAAAGTACCGGAAGTGACTACTTATTATTTTGATATAGAGATTACTAATGAGTTCATAATGGTTTTTAATAGAATTCATCAGTTAAATAATTTATCAAATAATCCGATTCAGAAGACTATCAGATCGTATGGTGTTGATCGAAATACAAATTTTCATTCGCGTACAGATTGAAATAGTAATTGCGGATTAAGTTAAGTATATTAATATATCAAAGTATTATATACTAAATGAAAAATAACGCGGCTTATAAGAATCTATGAGAACGTATTAGTAATATCTGGATAGTCTTTTAATGTACCATTAAAATTTTTCAGGAAAGTCATAGCAGAAAACGATCAGATTAAATGACCTTGATCCAAATACATTTTTTATATGCATGTACTGTTTAAAAACAGTAATTATTTGATATACTACTTTTCATATTAGATTGCGATTTACAAGAGTTAATAAATTAAAATAGAGGTTCAGTACTTAGCTGTTAGTTCCTATATTTTTAATGAGATTTTGAATGAATAATATAAAAATGAATAATTATTGTGTATTTTCTTGTGATATCATATTGTAAAAATATTACTCGATACCAAGTAGTATTAATACTTTTGTTTCGAAACTTGGTATCAAGTAGGTATCAATACTTTTTAAAATTTGCGGAATCCTATTGACCATGAAGGTTAGAGAACAGAAGAAGTTTTTTTTTTGTTGTTTGACTGAGAAAATTAGCTTTTAAAGTAATAGGCCGACGGGCGTCCTCGGCATGTGAATAAGCATTGTCAGGCCGCCCATGGGCGCCAAAAGCATTGAATGGGTTAAGGGACTGACTGCAATACCCACACTCGATGTGCGCGTATGTAGTTGTATCTTGTCCCCACATATATTTATTGTCTCAACAAAATAACATTACCAATAAAAGCTGTATCGCAGTGTTGACTTTGCTTATAAATGTGGGCGCAAGTTGCGCCGTCGCATGCGTCACGTCGAAATATCTGCTCAATGTCCTCTGCAAAAATGTTAATGTCTCATTTAATATGTTGTGGGTATATATATAGAAGTGGCAAGATTTTACAGTTGTCATCAACATACATAAATATCAATTTAATAATTATAAGATGCCATAATAAAGAGTAACTGACATAATAACCCGATAGATCATAAAGCTGAAGTGGCAATGGGCCAGCCATATAGCTTGAAAGACCGACGTCAAGTGTCACCTGATAAAAAGAATAAACAAACAGGAGTGCCTCAGGAGAAGTTTATGAAGTTTATGTTTAGTGGTAGAATTGTGATAGTACTTAATAATCACTTATATAATCTTGAATATCTTTAATTCTGATAATATTTCACTATAATAGAAGTTCCACATTTTTTTTTCTTCTTAATTTATGTGTACCACGTATATCTGAGCCTTGGTATGTAAATTTTACAGTACGCGAACAATCCCGCTGGTATCAATGGAATTGTTAACTGCAATTTTAAGTGCTGATAACCACGTGTGCAAACCCGCACATTTGAGAAATATTTTTTTTTTGAAAATATGTGAAGTCCGCCAACCCGTATTGAGGAGCGCGGTGGATATTTCCTTGCCCTAAAGGAGGCCTGTGGGACGTACATAGGCTGTAACTTTACATTTACATAACTAAACAATACCAACAACTCAACCAAGAGACTGTCTCACGTATTACATATTATGATATATTCAGTGGTCTCATAATTCTAAATATATGAGAATAACAAATTAGAACAATAAGAGCTATCATGTCTTATAAAACATACGACATGGTAAGACAACCTGCATCCATTGATGCAGAAGGACTTAAACCACCGGCATGCCTCAAGTAGTCAACCGAAAAAGAAGAAGGCCGCACTATCCTGAGCTTCCCAGATTCCCATTACAAAGAAAAAAGTTGAATCATCACTTGAAAAAATTCCTTCCTTCCAACTCGAACTCAATTCCTTTTTATACGACGATACTTTGGCCCATATGGCTGGCTCAATGAAATTTCAACACATTGCACATACTTTGCTATATTAACACTTTGCTACATTAATAAATCAATTTATTCATTATAAATATGGTACAAAGATGTTCGTGGGATTATGGGTTAACTCGACTGATGTAAACCGTGCTTTTATAGCGCAAAAACGCTGTATACGAGTAATTTGTAGGGTCGGGTCACTCGTTTCTTGCAAACTACTATTTAAAGAATTAGGTGTTCTTACACTTACCATCCATGTACATTTTTCAACTTTCAATATTCGTAAAAAAGTATCCTCTATTTTTACTAGATTAAAAGATACAGTAAAATATGGTACCAGAAACCCAAATAAAATTATTTTGCCTTCATTAAAAACTAGTCTTTACTCAAAAAATTGTTATGTGATTGCTATTCAAATGTTTAACAAAATCCCAAATGAAATAACGCAATTAGATTATAATAGATTTAGACGCAGTTTATTAAAGTGGCTTTTGAAAAAACAATTTTATTCGGTACGAGGGCGGCACTGAAAATTTCGGGAAACAAGGAAGTGACACAACATTACTATTTAAAAATGTATTTATTGCTTTTTGAAGTATTCTCCGCGAAATTTGACACATTTTTCCATACGATGGAACCAATCATTGAAGCAACCATTCCATTCGGAAGTTGGGGTCTCCAAAATGGCCGTTTTGTAGGCGTCCACAGCTTCTTCAGGTGATGAAAATCTCTGTCCACGCAATTTATTCTTTATTGACTCATGCCAATGTCTAAAGTTGCCTGAATTTCGCGGTATGTCACATGTCGATCTTCCTCAATCAACTTACGCACAGCATCAACGTTTTCTTGGGTGATTGCAATTTTTGCACGACCTTGACGGGGATCATCACTGAGCTTGACACGTCCACGTTGAAATTCAGCAAACCAGCGATAAATTGTGGTTTTGGATGGCGCTTCATCACCAAATGCAGAAATCACCCGGTCAACACACTGTCTTTGTGTTAAACCACTTCGAGAAAGTCATAATAAATCATCGCTCTTGAATTTTCTCGAGTCAATTCCATTTTCTCGACGACTAAACAAGTTTGACAAAACCTTGTGACAAGACCGAGAATCTTTTTTTTATAAATAAATGGTATTCGACTTTTAAAACCAAGGAGTTTTCAATTAAATTTTTTTTAATATGACAGGAATAGTGGAAATAATCCATTCCCGATACTTTTAGTGCAGCCTAGGTAAATGAACTGCTAAAAATAAAAGAATGTTTCTATTGACATATCAAAATTGTACACTGATGCACATTTAACTTTACTTAAATATTGTATATTTCAACCATAAGTTTTCATATACCTACGAAAATTGGTGAAATATGTGATACATCATTATTTTATATGAATATCTTTATACCATATTTCTTATGAATAAATTTATTTATTATTATTATTTATTATATGTTGCTTATATCTAAATCATAACATATTCAAACTAGAAAAAGAAATTGTATGTTAAAAACAGTGATGTAGATAACCCGTAATAAAGGAATATTTGCAGAGATATTAGTATTAATCTGGTCAATAAATTATCTAAAATATTACAGTTATCAAATAAGTATTATACCGTCAATTGCGGAGTGAGTAAAAATGACGATAAGGATGAGAAATTAATGTATTATATACACACACACAGAGACATAAATTCAAATAATGTCATTCAAAGCTTTTTTACAGAAGTCCTTAATGCTTTCAGATGTCCTAGGTCGATTTCGTAGAAGTTGCTTTCTGGAGTAGAATTCACCATCGCATTTCCGAAATAATTAATTCTCACCTAGTACCTGCCGAGGAAACTGGTTCGAGGCACCGCCTCCTGTCAGTGGTGGCCGGCTGGCCAGTCACAGAACGTGAATACATACGGAGGATTAGGGAGCAGTGCGACCGATTTGTCGGGTGAGTTCGCGGTGGAGGGGGCCCAGCTAGCTTACCTGCAAACGGACGAAGTTACAGTCTGTTTTTATGACCGACATAGCATTGCCAGAGCAGGTTAGTTATTCCGTTCATTATGACTGTGAGAGGATCTCTTCCAGTCTGAATGGTCACAAGGGCTTCCTGGAAAAGACAGATAGCGGCAGCCAATGTTGTTGCTCTATCTGTAGAGGCCACTCTCACTTATTATATATACTTCACAAATTTTTGTCACCAGTGTCATTGTGCCGGGCCTTTCATTACCCTTTAAGTCTCTACTTTTACATTAGGCAACAGAGCGGAGCCTAAGTCTCAAATAGTTTCTGGGTTGTTCCCGGGAATTTTTTCATATGTGCGTAAAATATGCAACTCTGCCTGTTGTTACGCCCTTTCATCTGGTGGATATATTTAGGTTCATGGCTAAGCTCTGAGTAATTTCCTCAGTGTCGATCCATTCTGGTAAACCATGTATGGCAACTTTTACAGGCTCATCAAAATGAATTTAATAAATAAGGCATACACTTTTTGTATGGTGCTGAAATGGAAGCAAGAAACGGCGAGAATGTATTGCTCTGGGCGCAATGAAGCCACTCCTGAGTTGGAAAAGCTTGAGAATTTTTCAAAAGAACTATTTGTGTCAAATCACGTGGATACCTCAAATGGAGAAAAATACATAATTTGTTTTTGCACGTGACCTCATATGGAACAGATAAGAGTTCTTGCCATGCCTAGCTTTTCATCCATGGTCACAATGCAGTTGGTTTCTCTATGTCTCATTATGGGTTGTTATCCTGGATTTTCTCCACAGTTTTTCAACCCTATGAGTTCCTATAGAGTGGAATAACAGCTACAATTTGGCAATGGCTTATAACACTCTTTTGACGTTGCAGCGCTGTTAGCTGCAGGTTCGAATCCCGCATGGAAGTACAAGTAATTAATCGTACGGCAGACAATATTATTATTCCTGGTTTGGATGTTTGTACTAGTGCAATTTATGTATGTAAACTGCTTTCACAATTCAGATGAAAATCCTCGTGTGGCAGTAAAAAAATTTGATTTTTTTTGATTTCAAGTTCTACCCACACTTTTTTTATTTTCTGTCTACTGTCTCAGGCAAGTTGATATCCTAAAGTAAAATTTTTGAGCTGCTAGTACTTATTACTTCCTCTTACACATAGCACTGTTTTGGTAACCATCTATGCTCACTTTGTGTATGACTGTGGTGGTATCAAAATGATTTCTTATATTTACACGAACACTACACATTGATTAAAAATTTTAAACTACTTTTACGGATTTTATCTTGCTTAATTAAGAGTGTTTAATTAAGAGTTATTGAATGTGATAAAATCTGTACAAATAGTTCTAATCAATGTGGTGATATCATAATAGTGTTTCCCACTATGTGCAGCATCAGCAATCAATATTGAGTCCTATTTTCAAATACTACATGCTGTCTTGCATCAGGATACATGGAACGCACAACACAATGCGAACACAACGCGAGCTATTGGTGCAACCTGGGGATACTGTGAGCTATGACTTATGCAAAATACCTCCATGCTCATTATACTATGCACTCTCCAACATGAATAAACTATGCATATTGCATAAAACTTTGAGGTTGTATATTTTATATCCCATTAAAGTAAATTACTCACATTTTACAGAATTAAAAGTATTGCAATATTTAACTTAAGTCAAAAAGTCTCAAACAATGACATTTACAGTAAAATTGTGTCAGTAGTTTTTATGTAAAAATTCTAATAAATTCAAACCATATGTTTTCTAATACTAATATTGCAAAATATTGTAGTTTCCAGTTCAATAAAAAACTTAAGATTCTTAAAAACCACATCATAATCATTAGTTTTCACATGATAATTATTTGAGACATAGGTTCTGTACAGGCCTATCCCCAAGAGTTATAGAGTATATAAGTATATTAGTTATATAAGGAATATTTTACACACAACTTTTCAACCAACTTCATAATTATAATAATATACTACACAACTTGGCCAAACAAATAGGCGCATGACAGGAATGCGGTTTTGGTGCCTGCATCCTGCCTCTATCCCCGAGCTAGCCCTAGTGACCAATCTGCATTTAGGTGTTCTCTCCCTAGTTCTAAGGACGTCTTAGCTGTCATGCATCCTAATTGTTTTGATCACGTAGTATTACTTATATTGCAATAAAAAATAAGAAATTATTAGTTTGCTTTTAGAGCTTTATATGTTATTTAATATGTAATTAAAAAACTTACAGGAGGAGGTAAACTCTTATATCTGATAACAAAGCCAGCTGCGACCAATGCTACATCTCGTGCCACTATCAGCAATGTCAGGGAAAGTGGTATCAATTCCTGCCATGTTAAGCAGATAAACAGAGTAGCTACCAAAACTTTATCTGCCATAGGATCCAAAAAGGAACCCATTTTTGAAGACTGATTTTTCCATGTCCTAGCTATCCAACCATCAAGCTGTAAAGAAATCATCATAACATCATCATTTCAGCCCTTCATAAGTCAACTGCTGAACATAGGCCTCTTACAATGCTATAAAGGGCGGTCCTGAGCCACCTGCATCCATTGACTTCCTGCATGAAATTATAAAGTATAAATTGAATTTTTTTTTTATAAAACAGTGACAAATGATCTTAAATTTACTACTTGATGGTAAGTGGCTACTGCAGTCCTTAGACACTAGCAGCCATTTCAAACATAAAAGGTACAGATGCTTTGTTGTCACCTCTGAAGACTAAGATAGTATGAATTATCACCTCTATGCATCCCAGCCTGTAACTACACTGGCTCTCTATTCCCTTCAAAGTTTTGGCGTAAACTTGGCCGCCGACAGACTGTCACTCCTGTTTTGTCACTTGAATAATGGTTTGAAGTGGATTTTAATTCGTAAAAATGATGTGATTTTGTTAATTAAGTGCTATTTGCAGTGGTATCTACCCTGACAGACATCTAGGCAGGGAAGGAGTCTTTCTACCTATATATATAATATATACCAGATTAGTAAATTAATTATTTTACTTACCAGATCAGTAACTCCAGCAAATGCTAATAAGCCTAGAGCTAAGTTGTAGTTATCTTGAAGAATTACATATCCTAGATATGGTGACATAGCTATTCTTGCTACACACAATATATTTGGAACAGTAAACACATTTTCTCGCTAAAATTAAATAATTTATATTTAGTTACCTAATGCAAAAAGATAAATTATCAATATTTCAGTAAAAATACCTCTACAACTTCTTCTATTTTTTCTCTAACTTTAGCCTTAGTTTCATGTATATCTTTCATGATATGTTCCTTCTTTACTCTTATTTTTTGCCCAGTAATTTCCTTCTGTTGCTTGATGTCTTTTACTAATTGAACACCTTTTTGTCGGATTCGATATTCAGTTTCTTTTATTTGTACCTTTCTTTGCTCAAAAGCATCTTTGAGCTCTTCAGTCTTTTTTTCCAAACTTAGAAAGTGTTTTTTACTATCGGATGAATAAACACACACTGATGCTGTTGATGAAAGTTTTAAATGATATTTAACTGAATTCTGTTTATATCTATCTAAAAGAGTGTGTACCTTTGATGTACTGTACGGCTTAGAACTATTGAAGTAGCAGACGTGATTGCGGCATAAATTTTGAACCTGTTTCACAATGTTAAGTGCTTGTAACTTCATGATTACTATGTTTATATGTTCTACTAAATAAAATACACTATAAATGAGAAAATATTAATTACTTCTCAAATGAGAAGTTAAATAGTTTTATTGGGTAATGGTTTATCACAGTTGATGTTGGTATTCTCTATTCTCGTACATAACATCTCTTTAATTTATAATTTTAGGTTGGTTGTTGTTGTTGTTGACAAGTTGACATCCACAGTGACAACCATAGATTACTGCACAGAGTACTTTCTAATATACTGAAACTGGATTACTGAATGGGTGCGTTTGGCAGAAAAAAGCGCTAGCAAACGCCTATAAGCGCTGAAATAGTTTTCGGCCAGGACACGATTGCTACTTCAGTAGCGCTGACACAATCCGCCATTTTGCTTATTTAATTTGTTTGTTTTGAAGTAGAGTTTATAATTTGTTTTGTGCAAGATTAGTTTTAAATAATATAATGACATGAATAAACACATACATGTTATTAAAAATTCATGATTGGTAAGTTTTTAATATGAATACTTTACAAACATATATTTAAATTAGGTTAGGTTCCCCGGTTAAAACTAACATCGTGTCCTGGAGAAAAATAGCTACTTACGATTTGACAGCGCTTACCGCTTACGATCGCCATTTTGCTTACAAGCGCTTGCTAGCGCTTTTTTCTGGGTGCGTTTGGCAGAAAAAAGCGCTAGCAAGCGCTTATAAGCGCTAAAATAGTTTTCGGCCAGGACACGATTGCTACTTCAGTAGCGCTGACACAATCCGCCATTTTGCTTATTTAATTTGTTTGTTTTGAAGTAGAGTTTATAAGTTGTTTTGTGCAATATTAGTTTTAAGTAATATAATGACATGAATAAACATATACATGCTATTAAAAACTCATGATTGGTAAGTTTTTAATATGAATACTTTACAAACATATATTTAAATTAGGTTAGATTCCCCGGTTAAAACTAACATCGTGTCCTGGAGGAAAATAGCTACTTACGATTTGACAGCGCTTACCGCTTACGATCGCCATTTTGCTTACAAGCGCTTGCTAGCGCTTTTTTCTGCCAAACGCACCCAATGACTATGTACTAGAGATAGATGAACAACTCAAATTTTATTTACGTTAAGTTCCGTGTCCATCCGTCAGATGGCGTAAAATTAAGTTATGATAAAATATTGTTTTTGAAACAGCAATTCCGAATACTCACAGACTGGTACAGGAACAATAAATCGGATTGTATCAGAATTCCCAATTAATTTTGATTCGCAATTGCGATACTAGAATTTACCAATAGAGTGAATGAAATGTATAAGTAAATTACGCATGTTTTTTGTATAGGTTTCCATGGAGTTATGATTAGAAAAATGGAAAGAAAAGGAAAATAAAGTACCGGAAGTGACTACTTATTATTTTGATATAGAGATTACTAATGAGTTCATAATGGTTTTTAATAGAATTCATCAGTTAAATAATTTATCAAATAATCCGATTCAGAAGACTATCAGATCGTTTGGTGTTGATCGAAATACAAATTTTCATTCGCGTACAGATTGAAATAGTAATTGCGGATTAAGTTAAGTATATTAATATATCAAAGTATTATATACTAAATGAAAAATAACGCGGCTTATAAGAATCTATGAGAACGTATTAGTAATATCTGGATAGTCTTTTAATGTACCATTAAAATTTTTCAGGAAAGTCATAGCAGAAAACGATCAGATTAAATGACCTTGATCCAAATACATTTTTTATATCCATGTACTGTTTAAAAACAGTAATTATTTGATATACTACTTTTCATATTAGATTGCGATTTACAAGAGTTAATAGTAGAGGTTCAGTACTTAGCTGTTAGTTCCTATATTTTTAATGAGATTTTGAATGAATAATATAAAAATGAATAATTATTGTGTATTTTCTTGTGATATCATATTGTAAAAATATTACTCGATACCAAGTAGTATTAATACTTTTGTTTCGAAACTTGGTATCAAGTAGGTATCAATACTTTTTAAAATTTGCGGAATCCTATTGACCATGAAGGTTAGAGAACAGAAGAAAGATCGCCGTAGAAAATAGTGTCCCAAAAATATGCACACCATAAGTGAGGCGCTGCGATCACTAAGTTCGGTCAATAAAAAGTCATTTTCAGTCAATTTTTCCAATCAAATGCTAAACCACTTGCACATTCACGCACAATATAATATTTCTCCATTTTTTAATGTTTCTTTTTGTCAAAAATTACAAAATTACGGAGCATGAAAATTTTCTCATTGAAAATGAAATGAAAATTTGTACATTATTCAACTAACTTCATCTACTTGTACTCATAAACAGCTAACTTCGCAGTTACTATTCACCGACGTCAGCACCGTTATATATTCTACAATTTTCAAGGACAGGCGGGCTATGATTTAGTACGTAGTGATCGTTCTACTCATATGGAGTGTAGAAGTAAGGAGTACCAACTCCCATGGTAAAATAGTTGAAAAAGTCCACTCTCCAACAGCGATTCCACTCAACTCCACAACAGCGCTACAGTAGCTACTGGGATGAAATGAATGTCGAAGGTCTGAAGTGTGCTGCTAAACTGCTCATTAGCTCTAAAATCTAAAATAATTTTATTAGTAAACCCTCGTTAATGCGAACACGGTTAACGCGAATTTTATGTTTAAGGCGAACAAAAATTTGCTCTAGACAATAGTTCCATAAGCTTCAATGTAATTATGTTCGATTAAGACGAACCCTCGTTAATCCGAAATTCAAACAACTTTTTCGTCCCTTCACGGTTAATTATCGGATAATACGAACTATAAAAATTCCCAAATCATGTATTTTGTATATTTTTGTCCTTTTTCGGTCAATACAAATACCGGTAAACAATGGCTGAAGAGATTAGAAAAGTCATTAACTCGAGTTTCTAAAAATAAACAAAAGGATTAGGATATCAAACATTCACTCGAGTATCTAAACATAGAAACAATACCTCAAATTTTCTTTCCGTCTTACAAAAGCTATTGAAAAGGTTGTAAACTTTTGAAAACTAATTAACAAAAGCAAAGGCTTTTTAACAATTTGGATTTGTTAAGAAGTGTACATATAAACTGTACACTTCTTAACAAAGTACAATACAGTACAAAAATGTTTATATTGTAAATATAAAAATCATTTTATATTTACAATATAAAAATTATTGTAAATATAAAATAATAATATCAAAGTAATTAATAAAAACGTTTCTATGATGAGTTATAATATTGAGTTTAGATACACGAATTCATTTTTTTCATTGTTCGGATTACGCGAACTCCCATGTAACACGAACTATTTGTCTGATTTTTCGTGTTCGTGTTAACGAGGGTTTACTTTAAATTTAACCTCGAAAAAGTCGTCTATCCTACTAATATTTTTCGGTACGTTCTTTAAAATTTTGCCCGTAGGTATAGTGGCGCCTCCCTTATTTAACGGTTTTCTATGGACACTTTTTAATAAACAGTCTGTACTCCTTACTTCTACAGTCCATACTATGGATATGGAGTGTAGAAGTAAGGAGTACCAACGCCCATAATAGAATAGTTGAAAAAGTGGCCATCTGTAAGCAGTAAATAACAGTTCAAAAACTGTCAAAAACTCTCCACAACAGCGCTGGAGTAGCTACTGGGATAAAATGAACTTAGCAGTTGCCGACGGTTTGATGTATGCTGCTAAACTGCTCAGTAGCTCTTAAATCTAAAATAATTTTATATAGTAAATATAACCTCAAAAAAGTCGTCTATCCCACAAATATTTTTCGGCACGTTCTTTAAAATTTAGCTCGTAGCTATAGTGGCGCCACCCTTATTTAATGGTTTTCATGGACACTTTTTAATACACAGTCTGTGCTCCTTACTTCTACACTCTATACTCCAAACCTTCATGGTTTTTCTCGTGTTTTCCTGTTCTCTTATCATTATCCACCAAGTTTGTGACCCGTAGTCACATCCAAGTTTTTGAAAATTTAAAAATAATTTTGGTATTCAAAATTCATTACAAATGGCTTCCTATGCAGTGAAATGGTGTGGCAAGTCAGCTAAGACATCCAGTTATCAAAAAGATGGCATAATATTTCATCGATAAGTAAATTTTATTCTTATCACGTTAACCTATTTCAAATGCACCGGAGTTCAACTTACACTGGGCAATAAATGTTGCAAAGTGATATCATTTGAGCACCCGTTGATGTCCTTTTTAATATGTTCCTTTCACTCATTACGTAAATTAAAATAGTTGTCTTTGTCTAACGACAGCACGTGTATCGATAGTGTTGTGATTTATAAGTCGATATTTGTTTGGTCATCGTTTACTTTTCTTTTGTAGTCATTATTTTATACAAATAGTGGCGTATAATTATGGTACCACATCTTTTCCTTTCGGGGATTTAGGATACCTATAACATATGTTAAGTTAATATATATATATAAATATATATATATATATATACAAAAGGCAAAGAAAATTTATGTTGCAGAAGTGAATGGCAGAGTCGGAAAGGGACTTCCTAGGCGAAAATTTATTGACCAAATTGGCGATTTATTGGAAACGGGCCAAATTAGGAGTACCCTTAACCGACGAGCATGTATGCGTAGGTGTATGGATGTGAAGGAGGCTAGAGAGGTGTGTCAGGATCGTGCCAAATGGAAATCTGTAGTCTCTGCCTGCCCCTCTGGGTGACAGGCGTGAGTGTTTATGGATTTATGGATATTCTTTTATTTATATACACTGTTTTATTTTTTAATAAATTTCAAATAAAAATTGATCAATTCATTTATTTATCAATAATCAATAAATCCTAAATTTATCGATCAACGTCCCAACCCTCTCTCATCACTATGGTTCGGAGCATTCTGAGTTCAACCTTGAATTATCCAATCACAGCGCATTTGACACGTCCCCCGCAACCCGAAATTTGGTGAAATCGAAACAGAACAAATATTCTGTGATGCGGTATCTATTAGGAAGTAATATGTGCCTTCAT